GTGGTAGTGGTGATAGTAGTGGTTGTTGTAGTGGTGGTGGTGATAGTAGTAGTTGTTGTAGTAATGATGGTGATAGTAGTGGTTGTTGTAGTGGTGATGAGGATAGTAGTAGTAGGTTGCTGTAGTGGTGGTGATAGAAGTGGTTGTTATAGTGGTGATGGTGAAATTAGTGGTGATTGTGAGGTAAGTACTGGTTACTGTAATTGTGGTGAGGATAGTGGTGAGGATAGTGGTGGTGATAGTAGTGGTTGTTGTAGTGATGGTATTGATAGTAGTGGTTGTTGTGGTGGTGGGGGTAATAGTAGTAGTGGTTGTTGTAGTGATGGTGATAGTAGTGGTTGTTGTAGTGATGGTGATAGTAGTGGTTGTTGTAGTGATGGTGATAGTAGTGGTTGTTGTAGTGATGGTGATAGTAGTGGTTGTTGTAGTGATGGTGGTGATAGTACTGGTTGTTGTTGTTGTGGTGGTAATAGTACTGGTAGGTTGTTGTAGTGGTGGTGGTGATATTAGTGGTAGGTTGTTGCAGTTGTGGTGATATTAGTGGTTGTTGTAGTGATGGTGGTGATAGTAGTGGTTGTGGTAGTGATGGTGGTGATAGTAGTGGTTGCTGTAGTGATGGTAGTGATAGTAGTGGTTGTTGTAGCGATGGTGATAGTAGTGGTTGTGGTAATGATGGTAATAGTAGTGGTTGTGGTGATGGTGGTGATAGTAGTTGTTGTTGCAGTGGTGGTGAGGATAGTAGTGGTTGTTGTAGTGGTGGTGAGGATAGTGGTGGTTGTTGTAGTGTTGGTGAGAATAGTAGTGGTTGTTGTAGCATGTGACATACATATGCAACACCCACACATGCACACACACATGCAGGCATGAACGCACACACGCACACACACACATGCGCACACATACATGTGTTTGAGTACACAAACTGGCATGACCATGCCAAAATGCCTCATTCACATAAGGTGACACACAAACTCAAATTGACATATGGCAACACACAAACATAAACAGAAGCAGAAAAACAAACATGAAGACAGGCAGACAAATCCAGTAAATTTTGTTTATACATGAAAGCAACGCAGTTGAAAATATCACACAAGAAACAATCACACAAGAAATGATCACACAAAAAATAAATACACAAGAAAAGATCACACAAGAAAATATCACACAAGAAATGATCACACAAGAAATAATCACACAAATGCAAAAGAAATGACCCTCAACTAGTTTAATGTGCCTTTATTTAAACAACAAAAACATACTGTACATTTCATTGCAAAATGTTAAACTGAACTTTTTCTGGAACAAAATATTTAACAGGAAAAAGATTGCTCTTGGGTAAAACAGAACCGTAAACTGCACAGTCCATAGTGACGGCACTAGTCATCTTCTTCTTCTTTCCTCGACTTTTGGAATGCCTCACAGCATCACACAGGAAGAGATCTCTGGAACTGGCCCTTCTGTTCACTTTGTGTAAAGTACTTTTCAGTGTCTCCGATATTTCTGCGGTCCATCTTCTTCAGGGTCAACCTCTGGATCTATTACCCCTGTATCAGTTCTAAATCCTTAGACTCACAAACCACCTGTGTGTACCGCACCCAAGACTTTTGAGCCAAGTGGCAACTATCTAGCTGCTACTGTGACGCCACACACTGTGTGTCCTTCAGGCATTTTCTTGTGACTTCACTTGTTTTTGTAGCTATTTAATCCTTTTGTTCCGTAAAAACATCTGTGAAAATTCGCTTTTTAAAAATTTCATTCAAAAGAAATACATTATTAAAATTCTCCCAAACTCTAGCCTAAGAACTAGCAGAAGAAATTTGGAGTTTTGGTCTTTTTTTTTTTAAATCCAAGGGGATGAAAGACATTACCACTAAGCAGACAGGCAGGCCTGCTATCTATTGTGCCACTTAAGTCACTAAAAAGATGCATTTTTCTTATTTTATAGTCTTTATTTTGGGAAAATGTAAATTTTTTTAAAATATGCGGTGACGTAATTATTAGATACAAATGGAGTAAATGAAAATTTAAAAAATAAGTGCATTCTTTCCCTTTGACAAGAAAACAGTTTTTTTTTTTTTTTACACAGCCACAGAGAGCAAAATGAAATCATCATAAGTTTATTAAGGAGTCAAAATTAAGAGAGAAATATTATCAAATTTTTTTAGCCAAATAACATCGTTACAATATTTTTTTTTTTTAATAATCTGGTAAATGTTGTCACATCAGCCAAGTCTACACACTATGCACTTGCAGACAACCAGTAGTGAAGCTGTTATATAGGCATACTGGCCACTGCTTTAAGACTATAGTAACCCTTGAAAGCCATAAAAAAGATTTTCTCATAGTGACTGGGTTAAGAGCATCATCTTTCAGATGAAACAGAATGTTTGCAAGATCGAACTATCAAAATTCTCCTTGAAACATTTTAATTAAACAAAATATACGTAAAATACAGAATTTAAATGCATACACATATGTTACATCCTACATACACATGCATAAACATATTATTTATCCTAAATACACATTCATTCACATATATAAAGAAAGAGAAATGTATGATATTTTAACAAATACGTCTCAGTTGTCTCTGAGTATTGACACTATTAAATGCAGCACTCATTTATCACAAATACTGTCCTTTGCCATACATATGTTACATTCTACAATATAAAATATTATATACATAGCACATGACATCATGGAATGGAAGATATATCACAGTCATCTGAATTATCAATCAACCATTTACTTTCTCATGCACTCTGGACTTGACTGGACATATTCGCTTGGCAACCGGCCCAGTATGGTGAGAGGCAGGCTGATGTTCAAGTTTTGGCAAGTTATTTGCTCCTAAGCATGTTTTGCTGTTGCATTTTCCCCTGTATCTGGACTGAAAAGTATATTGTTCTATCACCCAGCTATTTAGTTGAGTGTATGTTGTGACACTGTGAGCTGTAGATTTCATTTTGAATGCCTTTTGGCTGTGTCCATGTTGTTTGTGTTATAAACTGCAGATTCAGGAAATAGTGAGGGGCCTTTTGTCGTAGAACTAGTAGTGCATTATGCGATATTGCATGTGCAACTGCAGGTCTGTTGTAGCTATTGCTTCTGTCAATGAAGAACTGCAATTCTAGTTGCACGCAGTTTGGCACTACTGATGGCTGCCTTAAGCATTTGACGTGTACAGACCGCAAGCTGTTTCAAGAAACAGCAACAGGTTTCCTGAGTTGTTTTCTTTGGCTCAGGATCAGAGCCACTTTATAAGGAAACCCATGGTGCTGCGTGGTCTTGAGTAAAATAATGGCCAAATGGCACTGCCTGGGTAAAAATTTGAAATTTAAAATTTACCCAAAGCATTTCAGGATCGAAACTGGTGCTACAGAGCGTGTGCACTGTGCTAAGCATCTTCGGACTCAGACGTGAGTTAGAAGAAGAACAAAGCACTTATGGGTTACTGCCAGTGTGCCTTGATGTTGATCCGGTGTTCAAACCTCAAACCATAGGGATACCAATTTTTTTATGTTGGAACTGTGATCAACTAACTCATCCACTCAATCTTTTTCTTTTCTCTCACACACATACAGAGATTCCTTCTCTCTCACACACATACATTCTTTCACTCTTTCTCTCCCAGGTGCTCACATAAAAATCAATTAATTTTTTTTAAATCAAAGAACACCAGTTTGTTAGAGAGAACCTTAAAGGGAAGTAAAGAAAATTAACACTAGTCTATCATACATGCTATAAGGACACTGCAAGGAGGGTTGGTGTAAAACTGGCTGCTTTTTTTCTTCATAGAATAAGTTAGTTGCATATCCAGGATGTTGTAGAACCAGCCCCAGCATTTTGTGGCTGTTGTGCTTTTTCTAGGCAAATTTTACATTTGATAGTTTGCCACTGCTTTCTGCATGGACAGCTCTTGGTACAACTGTCAAAACCAGTGAAAGACAAATCACCCGCAGCTGGGATTGAACCCAGCACCCCGGCATTACAAAGCATGTTCACAACGCCTGAGCCATAGACACCTAAAACAAATTCCATAGAATTCTTCTTCTTCTATTCCACAATGTACATCTGCAAAGTGTCGAGGGAAGATATGTTTGTTGGTGAGCTCTTTCAAGAGTACTAGCAAGATTAATGTTCATTTCTGTAAGGCTGTTCTTAATGTCATCACTCCATCAAACAAAACTATATATTGAGTTGAGTCAAGAATTGACATCACAGCACTCGGGGCATTTCCATGCATGCTCCGTCCTCAACTTCAGCAGCCAGCAGAGTACCAATACTAATTAATGGTACCAGTCACAATCTGGTTAAAAGTCCGTCTTGCCTTTCCTCTGAGTGTAGTGAGCCGGCTAGACCCTCTGGCTACACTCAGAGGCCTCATTCTCTCCAAGCCATAATAATCTTTCTTCTCTACTGATTCTGATGCTTGTTTCCAAAGGGCCTTGACCACGTCTGCCTTGTCATGTTTCAATTCACCACCCAGTGGTGCAGATCCAGCCAATCTGTCTGGACAAAACTATATTACAATTCTCAGTTCAAAATGAAACTGTTAAACAATATTTAAGTTAAAGATAAAACTAGACATACTGTTAAGTTAATATTGTACATTGTGACATTTTCAGACTAAAGATATCAAATTAGAATAAAACAATTCACACTGTTAAGTTAATGTTGCACAGTTTATGATGAGCCACATTGGCAATGTTTTTAAGAATGGTCAGAGACATTTGAAAAAAACAAAAAACAAAAACAATGGAAATCGTCAGACATTAACTTAATATTAACATTTTGATCAAGTTAGCCACACTGTGAAGTTAAGTTGATGTTAACATTCTGATAAAGCTATCAACATAGTTGAGTTGATATTAAAATTTTTGATAAAGCTAGCCACATAGTTGAGCTGATGTTAACACTCTTGATAAAACTAGCCACATAGTTAAGTTGATGTTTAAAATTTTGATAAAGCTAATCACATTATGAAGTTATCCTTATAACGTAAAATTCGGTATTATATTGACTTCTGTTAACACCGCCACTGTGAGGAATGCCACGTATAGACAGAGCAGGTAAATCCCATATGGCCTTGACATCTGAAACTTGCTGAAGGTTACAATGACAAGAGAGGATATCAAGGACACGGCCAGGCCGCCAGCTAGAATCATTTCCTCAAAAGTAATCTTCAGCTGTGGAGAAAAAAAAAAAAAAAAAAGAAGATGTTAGAAACACTTCTTCTTCTTCCAGTCTATATCTTGTAGGCGTTGGTAGTCATGTCTATCCACAACCTTCTGTTTCATGTATCTTTGATCAGTTCTGACACAGATAACTGCAAGTCTGAAACCATGATTGGGCTGCAAGAACAGCATGGTTAAAAGGGGTGTGGCCAGACAAGAGCATCATACAGGAAACCAAAGAAAAATAAGAAACTAACACAGAACTGGAGACGTCAACTGCTACACAGTGTGAGATTTACTGAGGAGGGGATCCAAGCACTTATGGACTGAAAGGTTCAGTGTGCAGTAAGGATAATCTTTAGCGTAACTAACTAATTGACCCAGATGATCTTCCATGCTATGATGTCAAACTGTCCAGCATGATCTCTCTCGGTCTCCTGCCGTCTCTTTTTCCCTACAATTTCCCCACTGTCACAATTTACCGCAGTTTTCTCCTTCTCGTGACATAACCAAAGAATGTAGATTCTGTCTGTCTCTATCTCCATATGAAAGATTCACTCTTTCCACATTCATTTCTTACGATCCATACTAAGAAATAACAATAAAGGGCCTTTTTTTCACATGCAATTATTGGGCATATAGGGCTAGACCTATATTTTATAGACCAATCAGCACTTGGTGTGTGATGTGGTCAGAAACATGCCGGCCACCTTTACTTCTCAGGAATTTTATCTGATATATATATTTTAGGTTAGGTCAACCTGTGCGCCAAAGTCATTTTTGAAAAAAAAATCCTGCTTATGCGGGTTTGAACCCATGACCTTCGAAGCTATCAAGCATCTAGCTTCTACACTGTGGTGGCTTCCGTACCATTTATGCCAGGCTTTTCTAAAACCAATATGTCCCAGCCTGTCGTTACTGCGGATGGTGGAGGTTATAGCGGAGGATTGAGATTACTGACGATGGTTGAGGTTGGAACAATGGATCAACATCATGGCACATGGGTAGTAACCCATAAGTGCTCCGTTCTTCTTCTAACTCAAGTCTGAGTCCGAAGAAGCTCAGCACAGTGCACAGGCTCTGTAGCAATGACGAGGATTATTTATGTGCACAACAATGCACACTAGCCTCTGATCTAAAGACTGGTGGAATTACTAGAAGTCCGAGTCCACGTGAAAAAAAAAATCCCAGCCCTTACTGGGGAATGAACCCAGAACCTCTAGCACTTGAGGTGGACACCATGCCTTGAGACCATGCAGTCCCTGATGGTTGAAACTACAGAGGATGGCAGAGTCTCTATGGACATCCTCTACAGACTTCTTTTGTTTTTGTTTTTTCTTCACCGGCTGTAAACTCCAGTGGAAAGTTCTGGTTGTTCATCCACTTCTGGGCTCTAGTCCTGGTCCAGAATCTAAGTGTTGCGTGCGCATCCGTTCTACAGTTCTGACTCATTTGTATGTAGACTGTTGATCCTTTATGGCAGCGGTTCTCAATCTGTGGGTCATCACCCTTTTTTTTGGATCGAACGACCCTTTCACAGGGGTCACTTAAGACCATCGAAAAACATCTATTCACTGAAGTTATGAAGTAGCAACGTAAATAATTATATATCTTGAGGTCGCCACAACATGAAGAACTGTATTAAAGGGTTGCGGCATTAGAAAGGTTGAGAATCTCTGCTCTATGCTGAAATAAAGATAGATAGAAGATGTCAAGTCCGACCTCTACTATGACATAAAGATACAAGTGGGACATGAATGATACAAGTATTGTGGTGTATTTATGGAAATCGGATGCCATTGACTGTGTTGGAGGAAGCGAGAAAATCAGGGAGAGAATAGAGATAGAGGAGAAAATGATTGTAGACCGGATGAGAGCTGAGCGTCCGAGAAGGAAAACACTAAATACAAATGATGGCAACAACGGCCCTGAAATCTCCTGCTCTAATTGTGGAAGAGTTTTTTTTAACCCGGGCGGGTCTTGCTGGTCACACTCACTGTCGCCATAGGCTGTGAGTCCTAGGCCTTCTTCTAGAACAGTGGCTCTCAGCCTTTCTAATGCCGCAACCCTTTAATACAGTTCCCTCATGTCGAGTCCGACTAGTAATTCCAATGTACCGCGATCGAAATCCACTGCTGGCTGCATGGATTTTTACATTGCTATGGGGCGTCGCAGGTTGACCCAGCCTAAAATGGGTACCAGGATGTATGTCCTGGGGAAGTAAAGACGGCCGGCCTAATGTTGACCCCATTTGAATGGTCTGTAAAAATCTGGGCGCTCTTCCCACATGCCCGATGCGCCCAAAAGGCATGAAAAGGGGACTTAATTATTTTTAAAACTTATTTTGTGGAAACTCCCAAAGACTTATTTTCCTTCATAACTTCAATGGAAATGGGTTTTCCCTGTGAAAAATGGTCCGGCAGGTTGAGAACTGCTGCTGTAAGTAAAGTAAAAGTAAAGATCCCTTTTCACGCCTTTCGGCGCATCGGGCATATGGGCAGAGCGTCCCATATTTTTACAGACCATCAGCACTATGTGGGTAATGTGGTCAGCATTACGCCGGCTGTCTTTACTTTCCCAGGACAGCCCATCCTGGTACCCATTTTAGGCTGGGTCAACCTGCGATGTCCCATAGCACGATAAAAATCCGCGCAGCCTGCAGTGGGTTTCGATCGCGGTATGCTGGCTTACGAGTCGGACTCGCAACGCCTTAGCCACGGACGCCGCACTGCTGCTGTAGTACAAGATAATATCAGCGTCTGGAAAGATGGAAATGTGCAGACAATATTTCATAATCTTCCCCGTGTGGGTGCCGGTGTCCCATTATGGGGAAAACAAGAGCAGACATAACTGCCCACCCAAAAGCATGTTATGAAGAGTCGACAAATTGGGAGCTTCCTTCAAAGTCAGAGTGCATCTGCTTGAGAGGCAAGGAACCAATGGTCTACACATAAATGAATCAGAACTGTAAAATGGATGTGCACATAATACTCAGGTTTTGGAACTGGACTAGAGTCTAGAAGTGGATGAACAACCACAACCTTCTGCTGGAGTTTACAGCCGGTGAACAAGAAGAAGAAGATATAATCTGAAACTGTGATGTATACACTCTGAAAAAAAAAGATGGATATGAGAACCTATTGTTTTGACCCAAGTACAACAATTATTTTTAGCATTAAGCAACAGTGGTCAACTTACATGAAATGTTCCTCCATTGTTGAAACAGGCGATTGTGAATGGAATCCCCAGACCAAGAAGCAGATCTAGGACAAGTTAAGGCTATATATTTTAGGTTGAGAGGATCCACTTCATATATCACTAAACACTGAGCAAAAATATATCTAAGCACTGGGCAAATACGTCAATAAACGTTGGACAAATACATCCTAAACACTGGGCAAATACATCACTAAACATTGGGCAATGACATCCCTAAACAATGGGCAAATACATCATTAAACATTGGGCAACTGCATCACCAAACATTGGGCAAATACATCCCTAAACATTGGGCAAATACATCACTAAACATTGGACAAATACATCTTAAATACTGAGCAAATACATCACTAAACATTCAGCAAATACATCACTAAACATTGGGCAATGACATCCCTAAAGACTGGGCAAATATATCATTGAACATAGGACAAATGCATCACTAAACATTGGGCTATGACATCACTAAACACTGGGCAAATATATCATTAAACATTGGGCAACTGCATCATTGAAGATTGGGCAAATAAATCCCTAAACATTGGGCAAATACATCACTAAACATTGGACAAATATGTCTTAAACACTGAGCAAATACATCACTAAACATTCAGCAAATACATCACTAAACATTGGCAAATACATAAATAAACATCATCTGCCACAAACGCAGCTGATAGAGGTCCTTTGTTTCTTGAGGAAAATAACTTTCTGTCTCAGTCAGCAGTACACCATGTGTGACTGGTGGTGCCTTACGCAGTACTGCATATGCAGATGCTGATTAGGTGTAACTACTGCTCCCACTAGTGGTGAACTCCAATTTTTATGGTGGACTGTTGGCACATGTGCACTTAAATACTTAATGTGTGTGTGTATGCTATTGGTTTTGCTGAGACATTTTTATTTCACAAGGGACAGTCTTGGGCATTCTGTGTGGTTTTCTTTATCGCAGGAATGGAGCGATTGTGAGATTACCCATTTGTGTTTGAAGTTGCAACTGCAACTGACTGACTGACTATCCATTCTTAAAGTTTAATAATCAGCATGTTGAACCACTATAATAATTGACTGCAGTGGACATCAGTCAATCAATCACTTGCCTTCTCCAAAATAAAGGTTGGCTGGAGTTGATCTCCAACATGGCCTGTCTCTTGTCTTGGTTGTAAAATCTCTCAGACTGCTGTTTGCCCCATCTTTATGTCATCCTCCCTCTTGTATCATTGTCTACCTCTTGTTATCTTGCCTTCAATGTTTTCTTCCAGTATGGTTTTTAAAGTATTGTATCTTTTTTATTTATTTCAGTAATTCTCTTTTTGTTGGCAGTCTCCATAGCACATCTGTATTTGACTGTCCTCCCCCCCCCCTCCCATAAAATTGGACCTATTCTTCTGTATATACAGATTTAATGACTCAATTCAATTTTCTAGTTGCTTGAGCTGTTGTTAAAAAGTATTAATTACATCACAAACTAACTAGCTCAGTAGAGAGACTGGAAAAGGAACACACGCACACACACAAATTATTACAACCGTAACCAGTTGTGCATGACTTTTCAATCTTCTCCATTTAAAAAAAGGAAAAAAAAAAAACTGTCAGCTTTTTCTCAAGGATACTAAACAAAGGTCCTCCAAAACACGCAGATATTCCCATTCTTGGATAACCTTGCCTAGCCATGGTTGTGTCCGCTATGAGATCTGTGAGGATATATTGATACAACTGATCATCTGGTATTTCACAATTAGAAAGAATAGCCAAATGTAAAATTTACTGGAAACTGCTATAATGGACAGAAGTATGGCAGACATCATTATCATCTTAATCATCATTTTTATCATCATCATCATCATTTTGTTGGTTCTGTGTTGACCAACCAGCACAACCTGAGTCCACCCCTTTCCTTCTTCTTCTTTTTTTGTTGTCTTCTTCTTCTTCTTTTCCTTCTTCTTATATTTTTTTCTTTGTCTTGTTTCTCTTCTTTGTCTTGTTTCTCTTCTTTGTCTTGTTTCTCTTCTTTGTCTTGTTTCTCTTCTTTTCTGTTTCTGTTTTTCTTCCCCTTTTTCATATTCACCTGGGGTAAAATGCGGAAGAAAGTTTTGTTTGTTTGTCCAGAAACTTTTGGCCTTTGGTTTCTTCTAGGACTTGAGTTTTGTGGGCACATCTATTTTGCAGATCAAGCTTATTTATATATCCTGTGTGATCAGTGCAATATCGTCTATGGAATCCAGTCCTGTAACTTTGGCCTCTCTCACCAACATTCATCTTAGGGTTTCTTTGGGGTGTCTGTTTCTTCTCAAGATGTGTCCGATGTAGCGCTATCTTCTCTATCTTTTAACTGCTCATGCTAGTGGTTGCCCATATATTTCTCTTATTTCTTCACTCCTTTTGAATTCATCCCATTTCGTTTTCATCATTTTTCTTAGACAATTTTAGCTTATTTGAATACAAACTGTTACTTTTTAATTCCTTGCCTCTTGTGCAGATGCACTCCGATTTCTGAAAAAACACCCCTAATTAGTCATTGTTAACCACAAACTTGTCATTGGGTCTGCTGTAAGGATATGCAACAATTAGACCCCAGGCATAAAGAAACGAGCATGTTAATGAAATCCACATTATAAATCAGTCAAGACTGACCTCCAATACTATTTCCCCATGCCAGCAAAGTCAAGCCCAAAATGGCGTCTGAAAGGTCAAGGACTACACCAAATGCCTGGACAGAAATAAAAATATTATCAAAAGAGTAGAATGGTAAATTTAAAAGTAGTAAAAAGTAAAGGACCCTTCTCCTCGCCTTTAGGCATATAGGGCATATAGGGCTAGACCTATATTTCATAGACCAATTGGCACAAGATGGGTGATGTGGTCAGCATCACGCCGGCCGCCTCTACTTCCCGGGACTGCACCTGGTACCCACTCAAGGCTGGGTCGACCTGGGAGCCAAGGTCATTTTTAAAGAAAAGTCCGGCTCCGCCAGGGAGCGAATCCACCAGAATGGTAAATTTACAAAACATTAACATGTTACATTAACATTAACAGCAGCAGAGAAATATGTCCAACAGAAAAAAAACTCAGAACAGCAAAATTATTGATTATTTCTTCTCGTTCTTGTTTCATTCCCCAGTTGTAAACTCCAGCAGAAAGTCTTGGTTGTTCAACCACTTGTGGACTTTATTCGTGTTTCACAGCTAGGGTTTAATATGTACATCCATTTTACAGATCTGGCTTATTTGTGTGCCTACTGTTGGTTACCCAACCGTCAGGCAGATGCACACTGACTGAGGGGAAAATTGATAAATGTATGCATAAATAAATTGTGTTAAGACTGTATTGTAAAATTAGTTGTATGACTTCTTCCTGAACTTGCCATTCAGTCTGTACATTTTTACTTTCTACAAAGTGAAGAGCAGTAGAAAAGTGGCTAACAAACTTGCCTGCTAGCTGGTGATGATGATTTTAAATGTCTCAAGCAATAGATTTGAAAACAAGATTTATTTTGGCTTCTAGGACTATCCAAAAGACGATGGATTCTATGGGGGGAAAACTGGCCATCTTGATTCTGACTATGTATCTCATTTTAGTGTTAGTTTATCTGTATGAAAATATAGCTGATATCATATAGCAAATACACCTCAAGGCAAACACGCTTATGAGACTAGAAAACACACATATAGAAAACACACATGTCTAGAAAACACACAAGTCTAGAAAACACACAAGCCTAGAAAACACATGAGTTAAGAAAATATAACATTACAGGAATTTAAAAAAAAAATACAAAAAAATGTAAAAAAAAAAAAAAAAAAACACCACCTGAAGTATATTGACGATTTCATTGGCTATACTGTAGATCCAGATGACAGCCACAACAAATCCCAGAAAAGCAAAAGCCTGGGTCACGGATGGAAAGAGGTGGGGGTGGGGGTGGGGGGGGGGGTGGTGATTCGGGGGGGGGGGGCGATAAAAAATATTAGTTAGTAATGTAAAATTAGTAAAATCCAATGCTTTGTCTTCTGTCAGTTATGGACACTTTGTGGTGCACATGGGGAAAAAAACCTGGTAATATCAGTTAGTGAAGGCACCTTGAAGGATACTTTACCTTTGGAGCTTGTCCACTATTTTGACAGGTCAATCAGCACTCTAGTGGGTCATGAGGTCAATATCTACTGGTTCCCTTTACTTCCCAGAACAAATCCTGGTGCACAATTTGAGACTGATCGACACTGGTGCATAGAACAGTTTTCAATGTCTGCCTTGATGGGGACAGTTATGACACCTTGCTGGTAGGCAAGTTTTATACTTTGAGAATAGAGGTGGAGGCAGTCACAGCAGCTTTCTGTTGGCTTGAGAACCAGCTGCACACACATGTCATGACTGTAACACACTCACAGAACATATTCAGAAAGATGGTGACAGACTGGTTTCTCAATCTTGTTCTCTTCACTCTACTTTTCTTTTTACTTGCCTTCCTCTGCACTTCTGATTTTTTTTTCTTCTGTTTTCTCTCTTTCTCCTTCTTGTGCTCTGTCTCAGATTGTGATTCAGTTGTAACATCATCACATTCATTATTTGAAAAACAAACCACTCACAACTTGGGTCTGACACTTTTATTAGTTGTGGATGCTAAATTAATCTATTTCTACACATATCTGCCTCAACAACTGACCAGTCTGCCCCAACAACCAACTAATCTGCCTCAATAACCAACCAATCTGCCTCCACAACCAGTCAGCCTCACAACCAGTCAGCCTCCAAAACCTATCTGCCTGTAAAACCACTCAACCACTAAAACCAGTCAGCCAATGATAAAATAAATAAAAAAAAATAAAAAGAACCATCCAGTATCTTCATATCTGACAAGAACAAATTAATTAGATGGTGTTATCTCCTGAACAGAACACAGAAGGGCTGAACAGAATTTTACCAGTATAAAAACAATACATGAGAGTAACTCACTGTGTGGTAAACTGGTCTTTCGTCAGTTTTTGAGGTAAAGTAGACGATGACAGCTAAGATGGCACAAACAATGATGACTATTCCATATATGGGGAAAACACCGCCAATTTCATTAAAACCAACTGTTGATTAGAGCAGAAATTATGAAAAAATATTTCTCAATAATTTATAAAACACATTTAGTGATGATAATTCTAAACTCAATTAATCAACAAAGCAACTAAGTACTCTAAAATAGGTCAATAAAGTAAATCAGATAATCCCAGTTCCAATTTCACAACAAACGGGTCACCCCATAATTGCTGCATTCCTGTGCCATAGAAAATCACACAGAAAGTCTATCACTGTCTATTGTGGGAAAAAATGGCACAACAAAGCCAAAAGCATTCACATATATATAATGCAAAAGGCAGCCATCAGAAGTGCCAGCACAAACAGTCCAACTCTTGGAATGCAGTTCATCGTTGATGGAAGCAGCGCTTACAATAGATTAGTAGTTGCAGTTATAAAGTACTAACAGCTCTATGGCAACAGGACACTCGTCATTTTCTGAATCAGCAGTTCACAACACAAACCACACTGGGCACAGTTAAAAAGCATTTGAAATGAAATCTGCAGCTCACAGTGTCATGCCAAGCACTCACCTCAGTAGCTGGGCAGTGAAACTATATCCTCTGTCTGTATATGGAGGAAAATGCAACTGCTAACTATTGTCAGAAGTAAAAACTTGCTATGACTAAAAAAAATAGTCAACTTGCCTATCTGCCACATTGATGAAAAGAGTAATAACTGAAGCATTTGAGTACTCTAGAATCACTAAAAACATGAAATGTCAATTAAATGCATGTGAAAACAAATGCCTAAAGAAACTGACACACAATAACTGGGAGGAGCTCAAGACAGATGAAGAAATAAGAGGAATATCTGGTCTGGATCACTGCTTTTTTAAAAGACAAAAAAGATGGTGAAACAATAGGCACATCCGGGGAGAAATGAAATGAGAAACATCAAGTAGCCAATGTTACTGAGTGTTTATCATTAGGCTAAAAACTGCTATGACAGCACTCAGCACATTTCCATAAATGCCCCATTTTCATTTTCAGCAGCCAGCAAAGAGTTCCATTTCTGATGGTGCAAGCATAATTTTGATTATGTCTAACTTGCTTGTCATCTGAGAGTAGAATGGTTGACTAGATCCTGTGTTCACTCCCAGATGTACCAATCTCTTCTCTGAGTGTAGAATGCTGACTAGATCCTGTGTTCACTCCCAGATGTACCAATCTCTTCTCTGAGTGTAGAATGCTGACTAGATCCTGTGTTCACTCCCAGATGTACCAATCTCTTCTCTGAGTGTAGAATGTTGACTAGATCCTGTGTTCACTCCCAGATGTACCATTCTCTTCTCTGAGTGTAGAATGTTGACTAGATCCTGTGTTCACTCCCAGATGTACCAATCTCTTCTCTGAGTGTAGAATGTTGACTAGATCCTGTGTTCACTTCCATATGTACCATTCTCTCCAGAACATAATTATCTTTTTGTGCTTCCTAATTGTTCACTTTCTCCTAGCTTGTCATGTATAAATTCACCACCCATTAGAACCAGTGAGTCTGTTTGCCTGCTCATTTCCAAACACTCCTACATATCTGAAGAAAACATCCAAAGAATGCAAACTACTTCGGAACTCTGAAGCGATGCTTGCTATTCTGCATTGAGCATGCCAATCTCCACCTTTCTTAACATACTTTTGAGTCGGTTACAATCATGACATGTGTATCTCACTGGTTCTATGAAAAAAAGAGCACAGTATTCTAAAAATGTGTTCATAAAACAGAGGCAGAATAATGACACAAAAATCTTTTGATAAACCAAATTCTTAGGACTGAAATTAAGTTGACAAATTAAATGTAATTTAAAAAAATAAAAAGGTTTCAAAAATCAGGTGTGAAATCATTGCAAAACTAAGAATAAAACTATAAAACTATAAAACTACAAGAGAGAAATGTACCTCCTATGACAAAGATTCCAAACACTGGCCCTGTGAAGACATGCACTGAGTTCAGAAGTCTGTTCCAATTCTGTATGTCCTCGGGATCATCCTCGACCTTCACGCTAACGACTGGCACAGTCAGTTTCAAGAGCAGAACAAGAGGGCTCTATTCAATCACCAAAAGTCAATATTTAGTAAACAGAAAGTTTTCACCACATATATTCTTCTTTCTTTCATTGTTTGCTCCTTCTAATTGTTCTTCTCCATCTTCTGCAAAAACTTGTCCAGTCCTGAACAGAAGTCAATGTTTAATAAACAGAAAGTTTATACCATATACATTATTCTTTCTTTCATTGTTTGCTCTTTCTAACTGTTCTCCTCCATCTTCTGCAAAAACTTTTCCAGTCCCGAACTGTTTCACAGGAGATAACTTTCCATTTCTGCTGCTTTTCTTCTTCCAACCAACTCAAGCAATTTTGTGTTGTGATTACTACAGATACTGTATATTTTCTTCTTCTTCACATTCACCGTCTGAAAACTTGAACGAAAAGTTCTGGTTGTTCTTCACCCTCTGGTCTTTAGTCATGGTGGTGTCCCTACTGGGAGAGACAGAGAAAGACATACAGTCACGTCTGAACAAAGTTAGAGCTGCTTTTGGAAGGATGAGGCAAATCTGGAAATCCAACAATTACTGCAGAGGAACGAAACTCCGACTTTACAAGAGCATCATTTTGCCAGTTCTTCTTTATGGAGCGGAATGCTGGAGAATGACCAAAAAGGATGCACACAAGCTGTCCACCTTCCACCACACATGTCTACGTAGAATTATCAAAATTTTCTGGCCAGATACAATCTCAAACACTAAACTACTTCAAGTCACAAACCAAGAAACTTTAGACAGTATGATTACCAAGAGAAGATGGAAATGGCTTGGCCACATTATGAGAATGACTTCTGAAATACCGGCCAAAACTGCTCTCACATGGACACCAGAGGGAAAGAGAAAACAGGGGCGCCCAAAAACAACATGGAGACGAACGATGGAAAGTGACCTGAGTGCGGCATCTTTGACATGGAAAACTGCACTGAAGATTGCACAGGACAGGAAAGCATGGAAAGTCCTCTCTGAAGCCTCATGTGCCACTAGGCATAACGAGAACTGATGATGATGATGAAGGCGTATAGGGCTAGACCTATATTTTTATACACCAATCAGCGTTAGATGGGTGATGTGGTCAGTATCACGCCGGCCGCCTTTACCTCCTTGGACTGCACATGGTACCCACTCAAGGCTGGGTAGACCTGGGAGTCAAAGTCATTTTTTAAAAAGTTCGGCTCTGCCAAGGAGTGAACCCATGACCTTCCAATCTGCATGCGAACATCTAGCCGTTAGGCCACAGCAACTCCAGACAGTGAGCCTTGGTATGTGCTATATAGGGCCTAGGATATGCCATCCTCACCTGCATGGTTGACATCTAGCTCTGTTCCATTATGTCTAAGTAACAGGGCTCTGTGTGGTGCACTTTCTGGTGGTAGTCTTGACACATGACCAAACCATTGGTCATGTTGTCTCTTGATGTAGTTCTACCTTTACTTTTGAAGATATATTTCTTAGTATCCATTTTAGACCAGATTGACCTGGGACCTGGGTTGATTTAAAAGAAAATCCACCTCAATGTGGATACAATTCCCAAAACCTTTAGGCCTGCAGGCAAGCATTAGGTCACTGAACTACTGTAGCTCTCCTAGAAGAGAACGAGAAAATTACATCAAGTCACTGTACTGTTGAAGCTCTCCGTGAAGAGAAGGAAAACAATTACATCAAATCATTGCACTACTGTAGCTCTCCCAGAAGAGAAGGAAAAAAATTACATCAAGTTACTTTACTATTGTAGCTCTCCCAGAAGAGAGGGAAAAACATTACATTAGGTTACTTTACTAATGTAGCTCTCCTAGAAGAGAAGGAGACAAAAACTGAAATAACATCTGACATAGGTACCTTAAATATTTCATACATTTTCCCCAGACATCGTTTCTCCCGCCACTCCTCTGGAACTATAGGATTGATGTCGTCTAGAAAGTTTCTAACCACTGTGTTGTTTCGCTTCTGTGTGTGATGAAGAAGTAACGTGGATTCCTCTATTTGTACGTTGCTCCCAGGAGATGTTCTGTACATGTTGGCTACCCCTGATTCTAGAACTCCTGAACTGTTATCATCGTGAAGGGCATCCACAAAACCGTTGTCAATGACTGTCATTGAGGAATAAAGAAATAGATTAGTTGATGTCACATTTGGTATGAAATTGGGTAATTTGCAACTCTATTTGATATAATCGATCAGAGGAAATCAAATAGAAAAAGAAAAGAAAATGTATGAAGACAGAGAAGACATGGAGAAGGATTAGAATCAGAGAGAGAGAGAGAGAGAGAGAGAGAGAGAGAGAGAGAGAGAGAGAGAGAGAGAGAGAGAGAGAGAGAGAGAGAGACGGACAGACAGACAGACAGACAGAGAAGGGGGGGGGGTGGGGTTGAGAAAGAAAGTTAAAAATTAGATACAAATTAAGAGAGCTAAGAGATGAATGACATATAAATAAGATAAGATAAATGTTTAAGAATGGTGAGTTATAGGAAGAAAGATTTAAGAGAAAGAATGTGAACAGATAAGATGGGAGAAATGTATGAGGGGGGGGGGAAAAGGTGTGCGAGAGATAGAACATTTGGAAGAGCAAGAAGGATAGATGAAAAGATGTGACATACAAATAAGATAATTACAGATTTGAGAGATGTAAGAGAAAGATACAGAGAGGTGATACAAAGGGGAGAGTGAAATATATTGAGATAAGAAAGACAGAGAGACCTGGAAAAAAAATTAAATTGATAGAGATTTGTAGATACAACAAAAAGTGAGAAATAAGCCAGACAGAATGAATGAACAAATAAACGAATAAACATTATTTTCAAAGGGTCACAAATTGGGCACACAGGCCTATCTCACATTCAGCCCTGCCAAACACCCATCTTTCACACAGCAGTTGTAATTTATCAATAAAGAGTATTCTATTCATGTGATAATATGCTTATTGTGAATATCAAGAAAAAAGACAAAAGAATTGGTGGTAAAATGCATGCATACACTAGCACACACAAACACACACACACACACATACCCACACACACACATGAGCACCAACTCACTTAAACATGCATATATACACACCCACATACATTCACACACACACACCCACTCACCCACATACATACATACAGATACACACATACACACACAGACACACCCACAGAAACACTCAGACACACACACACACACATAAACACACACAGAGAGGTACACACTCAGACATACACACACAAACATACACACGCAGACGCACAGTCACACAAACCTGCATACACACAGACAGACACACCCAGACATACATGCAGACACACATACACAAACACATACAGACACACACATATACATAAACAAACATACACATGTACATAGACACAACCCACAGACACACATGCACAAACAGAGACACAGACACACGCACAAAGATACACACAGACACACACCCACACACAACCCACAGACACACATATAGATGTACACACACAAATGCACACACACAAACACACACAAATCAAACACACAGACACATACACACCCACAGACACACACTCAGATTTACATACACACAGGAACACACACAGATACAAGCGCACACACATGCAAACATACATGCATACACACAGAGAGAGAAACACACACAGAGAGAAACACACACAGACATATACACACAGACACACACAAAGACATATACAGATATATACACACAGATGCACACATAGATGCACACACAGACACTCACACAGACATACATGCAAGCAGACACACACCCGCATATACAGACACACACACACAAACACAATAAAGACACATACAAACACACATGCAGGCACACACAAAAACACATACATGTATAACACACATAGACATACACAGGCACATACAGACACACACACACAAACACAACAAAGACACACACACAGAGACACACAGCCAGGGATACACATAGACACACACAAACTCACAACCACATACGCTAACACACACAGACATATGCAGACACATACATATACACAACCCAAAGAGTCACACGCACAAACACATGGACACAGACATACACACACACAGACACACAAGCAGACACACACAGAGACACACAAGCAGACACACACACAGGCAGACGTGCACACGTTGACACACTTGCAGACACACACACACACACAGACATATACACACAGACATATACACACACAGACACACAAGACACTCACACAGACTTATGCACACACACATACACAGACACACACAAACTCAACAAGGCACACACACACACACATGCATGCACACACACACAGACACATACATGTAAATACAAACAGAGAGAAAAGGAGATGCTAAAAAAACAGTGTGTGAGTTATTGACAATGAGGCCAGCTCACAGAAGCCAGCTTCAGGCCTCAGAAATGAGATATCTGAGAAAGGTGAGCCACGTGACAATACGTCAAGATCTTGAAACCCAGTCCTTACAAACCCGAGTGGATCAGTCACAGTTACAATGGTTTAGACATGTATGCAGAATAGGAGGAAATCTGCCACCATGGCAGGCATGGGAGGCTAAGAACCAGGGAACCAGACCACCAGGGTGACACAGGGTACTCTGGGAAGACAACATCTGATAGTCCCTGATTGACAGAGGATTGGCATGGGACAAAGCCAGAAAGAGAAGTCTGGTGACATCCCCGCCAAACCTCTACTCCCCAAGGTAGAAGGGGATCGACCAAGCGATTAAGGTAAAGATAGTGAGACAGAAAAGAAAAAAAATAGTGAGAGACTAATAAGAGATACTTGAGACAGATGAGAATGAGGCCTAGATGTGTAGGACATGACAGACATGAAAGAGAGGTAATGGAAAATGACAAAAATAAAGGGAAATGAAAGAGAGAGAGAGAGAGAGAGAGAGAGAGAGAGAGAGAGAGAGAGAGAGAGAGAGAGAGAGAGAGAGAGAGAGAGAGAGAGAGAGAGAGTAAGACAAGTGAGTAAAAATTTTACCGCTGGAAATTTCTTGTCCAATTCTCTTTTTAAGTTTCTGGTTGATGTATCGTCCAGCTACCACCACTATCACATACACAACATAGAGGATGATAAAACCTGCAAACATATGACAGTAAGTATGATTGGAGTCAGTCAGTGATTGGAGTCAGTCAGTCAGAGACTGGAATCAGTCAGTCGGAGATTGGAATCAGTGATTAAAGATAGTGACTGGAGTCAGTCAACCAGTGATTGAAGAGTCAGTCAATAATCTGAGTCAGTCAGTCAATTATTGGAGAGTCAGTGAGTGATTGGAGTCAGCCGATGGAGTCAGAGTATATAGTCAGTCAGGAATTGGAGATAGTCCCAAATTGGAGGCAGTCTAAGATGTGGAGACAAGAAAGGAACTGAGGTAGATGCATGGTTGAATTCTTCTTCTTAGCGTTTGCCGCTGTAAACTCTGGCAGAAAGTTCTAGTTCATCTACTTCTGGATTTTGGTCTTATTATAGAACTTGTGTTCTGAATGCACAGACATGTTACAGATCTGGATCCATTGTATGCAGACTGTTGGTTCCTTGCATCTCAAGCAGATGCACTCTGACTTCAAAGGAAAAAGCCTGTTAGAAGTCTACCTTTACTTCATGCTTGCTGAAGAGGCAGTGGGTCTCCCCCCCCCCACCCCCTTCCCCCACCCCCTTCCCCCCAACCCCCCTTCCCCCCACCACCCTTCCCCCCACCCCCCTTCCCCCATAATCGGGCCCTAGAGCCTAAACAGGGAGGTTTCCAGTAACAAGCTGGTCAGCAGAATTTACTTCCCCATCAAGTGAACCTCGAATACGATGTAGACCCACCTGCAGCCTCCATCTGGGTGATCTTCTTGTCCCACATGACCCACCAGGCCCAGTAGGTGGCTGCCAGGTAGAAGATAACGTCGCGGAGGAAAGGCCGCTCCATGGATTTGAACGGTTTGATGATGGAGATAGATCCGGCAACAACCGCCGTCACAAACACTCCAGCACCTGCAGACATTGCAAGTGAAACAATACAACATCAGTTACTGCAGCACACAAAGAACATCGTGAATTACTGCAGCACACAAAGAACATCGTGAATTACTGCAGCACACAAAGAACATCGTGAATTACTGCAGCACACAAAGAACATCGTGAATTACTGCAGCACACAAAGAAGATAGTGAATTACTGCAGCACACAAAGAAGATAGTGAATTACTGCAGCACACAAAGAACATAGTGAATTACTGCAGCACACAAAGAACATAGTGAATTACTGCAGCACACAAAGAACATCGTGAATTACTGCAGCACACAAAGAACATCGTGAATTACTGCAGCACACAAAGAACATCGTGAATTACTGCAGCACACAAAGAAGATAGTGAATTACTGCAGCACACAAAGAAGATAGTGAATTACTGCAGCACACAAAGAAGATAGTGAATTACTGCAGCACACAAAGAACACAGTGAATTACTGCAGCACACAAAGAACATCGTGAATTACTGCAGCACACAAAGAACATCGTGAATTACTGCAGCACACAAAGAACATCGTGAATTACTGCAGCACACAAAGAAGATAGTGAATTACTGCAGCACACAAAGAAGATAGTGAATTACTGCAGCACACAAAGAACATAGTGAATTACTATAGGAGAGGGGAGGGAGGAAATAGAAGAAAGACAAGAACAAGAAAGAAACAGACAGGAGAACTAAGGAGAAAGAAGAAATGAAGAAGACATAGGAGAGAGAGAGAGAGAGAAAGAGAGAGAGAGAGAGAGAGAGAGAGAGAGAGAGAGAGAGAGAGAGACAGACAGACAGACAGACAGACAGACAGACAGACAGACAGACAGACAGACAGACAGACAGACAGACAGACAGACAGACAGACAGACAGACAGACAGACAGACAGACAGACAGACAGACAGACAGACAGACAGACAGACAGACAGACAGACAGACAGACAGACAGACAGACAGACAGACAGTCCGAGAAGGATAGAGGAGGAGGATAAGGAGAGGGAAATGAGAAGAGCAGTAGAAGAAGGTGGAGAAGACAAAGTAGAGAAGGAGGGAGAAGAAGAGGAGGAGGAGGAGGAAGAAGAAGAAGATGCTGTGATGATGCTGATGATGATGAATGACAATAATCATGATGAGGATAACAATGATACAGTGACAAAAACTTATTTTGGCCTATCAAATATGAAACTTGGCACAGGAGGTTAGCACAAGTCAAAGAAACACAAACTGCTATGGCAAACTCCTGGCACAGTACAACAGTGACATACCGAACAGAGCCCCAATTGCCAGGCCAGCATCTCCACCCTTGGCGTTGCCAATTGAGGCAATGGCTGAAAAGATGTCAGGAGCCCCATTCCCAAAGGCCAGAAATGTCACACCCTGTGTTTGGTTAAGGCAATGATCATCCAATGTTATTATTTTGTAGCAATTATGTCTTCTACTTAGTGGCATCCGTGTCTTAAGCGTTGAGAGTCCGACTCATAATTCTAATGTACTGCGATCAAAAATCACTGCTGGCTGCACATATTTTTTTTCATGGTATGGGGCGTCGCAGGTCCACCCAGCGTAGAATGGGTACCAGGATGGCTGTCCTGGGGAAGTAAAGATGGCTGGCGTAATGCTGACCACATTATCCACAGAGTGCTGACAGGTGTGTAAAAAAAATATGGGATGCTCTTCCCATATGCCCAATGCGCCTGTGGTGTGAAAAAGGATCTTTACATTTACTTACTTTACTTTTATGTCTTCTACTTCTGCTGCCTTTTGGCTTTCAAAGGCTCGGCCAGCTCATGTTGTTCATTACCCAAAGCACAGACATGCCCTAGAGACGCTTACTCATGACCTGGGAAGCTATGCTTGCCACTCTGCACCGAGCATATCTGTTGATTGTGTGTATGTGTGTACATATATGAATGTGAGTACAGACCTGCATGTGCATCTATGAGTATATTTAGACAATTTAAAAAAGGATATTGCAACATTGTGACTCAGCCGTAGACTCTCCGAAATGACAGCAAGTGATGGGCAGAAGCTGTGGACAGACCACAAGGGTTAACATTGACAGGTGAACTAATTATCTCAGAGCACAAGGGTTAACATTGACAGGTGAACTAATTATCTCAGAGCACAAGGGTTAACATTGACAGGTGAACTAATTATCACAGAGTGCAAGGGTTATTATTGACAGGTGAACTAATTATCTCAGAGCACAAGGATTAACATTGACAGGTGAACTAATTATCACAGAGCACAAGGATTAACATTGAAAGGTGAACTAATTATCACAGAAGGCGAGGATCAACATTAACAGGTGAACTAATTATCATAGAATGCCAGGATTTTGGTGGGGGTCTACATCAGTCAGTCAGGCATACAAATAAGCCAGATCTGTTTAACAGATGTGAATTAGGAAAAAAAGGACTCTTTTCCACTCCTTTAGGTGTATAGGGCATATAGGGCATATAGGGCTAGACATATATTTTTATAGACCAATCGGCACAAGATGGGTGATGTGGATATGGAACGGATGTGAATGCAAAACTCAAATTCTGCAAACAGGCCAAAGTCACAGCTTTCTGTTGGAACATACAGCTGATGAATTCCAAGAAGAGGAAGATTCTATGTTTAAAAAAATTAGCCTTCTTGAAACATTTGGTTGTATTTATGCACATCCAGCTCATTCTAGCCATCGAGCTTTCTAGTAACAGTCTGTGTTGTATTTAGTACTTTTTGATATCAGTCTGACCCGACTGCAGTCACTTGTTTTTAAAGCAACCAACAAGTCTGTGGAGAATGGCCTTACCGACTCAGAACTGCTGGTTATAATGGGCTGTGGAGCTGCTACGGGTTCCCTGACTGACTGACTTTCTACCCCACTAGGACATCACGCAAGCAATAAACACCCGATGACACAAAGTGCCACCATGTGAATGAGGATCGCCGTGGAGAGGTCCCAGAAACCTCGTTCAGACAATTGGCCATACTTATGGCCTGCCTATATTGCGGTCCTTGGCAAAAGCCAGGGTGGGGCTTCAAATAACAAAAAATCTTGTCCTGAAAAGGACGAAACTGGATATAATAAGTAAACAACGGGTTCCCTGATTATTTATATCTACTTTATATATTAATCAAGTAACAGAAAATGTATTGCTCAGCACTCATAGAAAGAAGTAGAAAGATAGAAGAACACACTAGACAACATAAAATTTGAAACCTGTCACCTCCAGGCGGCATGTGCACCTCGCTAAGGAAACAAGTGAACTAAGAACATGGTCAACTAGTCACCCCTTCTTTGGAGGTTGAACATGATATATGTGCCAGCCCTGTTGGTCTGTCAGCCAGATTAAGCTTTTTTTCTTTTTTTTTAAAATAAATCTCTAGGTGATAAACCTCCAGGCGGCAGCGGCTTGGAAGGAACACAATTTTATTTAGAGAAGACAGCAGTAGATGATTAAGGAGCTCGGAATTAAAAGATTAAAGAACTGTTCTCAGCTGGGGGGATAAATGACAGACAAGAAGATGAGCCTCAAGTTTGAAGATAGTCATAAAAATACTTTTAAACTAACAAAATGTGATGTGCCTCAAGTCTGAAGAGAATCATATAAGTACTTTTAAACTAATAAAATGTGATGTGCCTCAAGTCTGAAGAGAATCATATAAGTACTTTTAAACTAATACAATGTATACATTTTTTTACAACAACAAATGCATTCTTTACTTAACTTTTTAAAAGATTTTTTTTTAAAAACATCAACTCACAAATCATCAGCTGTTACTGCCAGACCACAAAACAAGAACAGCCACCAGATAAACTGTGGAACACAGCAAGCATCTAGATGATGGCTGGCATTTAAAAAAAAAACTCTACTAAATGCAGCAAAAACTATCTAGTCACTTTAGCCATAGAGATTCTTCTTCTTTTACTTTCCATTTTTCTGCATTTATCCTTAAAAAAGAGGGTTGTTTTGTGATTTACAGCTAGGCTGAGATATCTGTACCTTTTGGTCCATTAACTTCAATTCAGCAAACCCCTAATTATATGTCTTTTATGACATGCTTGTCACCAGCAGTAGGTCTTTTCCTTTTTTCCATCCCCCCCCCCCCCCCACCCTAAATGGGGCTCTGGAACCCACATGTGGAGCAACAGAAATATTCTTCTTAACGTTCACGGGTTGTAAACTCTGGCAGAAAGTTCTGGTTGTTCATCCACTTCTGGATTTCAGTCTTGTTCCAGAACTCATATTTTGCATGCACTTTACAGATCTGGCTTACTTATGGGCAGACTGTTGGTCCTCAACTCTGAGGCAGATGCACTCCGGCTTCAAAAGGATATCCTCTAATTAGCCACTTTTCACAGCATGCTTAGGGGCTGCATGGTCTCGATGCGTGGTGTCTGCCTTGAGTGCTGGAGGTTCCGGGTTCAATCCACGGTAAGTGCTGGGATATTTCCACGTGGACTTGGACTTCTAGTAATTCCCCCTGGTCTCTGGGTAGTGAGATCGGACACCCGTGTGCATTGATGCGCACGTAAAAATCTCTTGGCAGTTGGAAAATGAAAAGAGTAGCCTAACCGCGCTGCCCAGGCACAATTTGGAGATAAAAATCTACCCAAAGAATTTCAGGATCCTCCCCACTGCCACAGAGCCTGTGCACTGTGCTGAGCTTCATCGGACTCAGACTTGAGTTAGAAGAAGAACGGAGCACTTAGGGGTTACCACCCGTGTGCCATGATGTTATTCAGTTGTTCAAACCTTAAACCTCAAACAGCATTATGGGCCCTGGCAAACTAGTGTGCTGAGGCCCTATGACCCACAAAAGGAATGGAATGTAACTTGACATACACAGATTAGCATGGGCCCTCTATGCTACTGGAGCCCCTGGGCAAGTGCACAGTGTGCCCATATGTTAAGACGGCCTGGTAACCCATATATATGTAATTTAAAATATAAACAGTAACAAATCATAAAATTAAAAACCCTAACAATAAGATATAAAACAATGTTTATTGTTTTGTGCATTTGTACACTTAGACTTCATTTATATTTTGGAAAATGTTATCCTGCTTTTTAATTCTTTTTTAATTTTAAAGTCTTTTTTTTTTTAATCAACTCTAAACATACGTAATACATTTGCTTCTATAATTAATAGAGATAATGCATCCAGCCTGCATTGTTTCATTGTTTTTTTGGGTGGGATTTTAAAAATATACTTCAACTAGAAAATAACACTATTTCCAATGCTACTGAAAGTTTCTGTGGTTGCCCCCTCCCTTCACGATGCTCTAAACATGTGCTTGGTGTGTTTAATGGTTAATCTGACCCTGTTAAAGATGAACAGTGATGAGAGAGGCAAAGTTACCAGACTGAATTAAATCATTGATATGAAAACAATTGCACGGGTTGGAGCAGGATGGAAGAATATACTGGGAGTCTTCTGTGACACATAGCAGCATGATGATGATGATGATGACAATGATAATGATAAGAATGATGATGACAATGATGATGATGATGATGATGATAATTATGACAATGATGATGACAATGATGATGATGATGATAGTGATGATGATGATGATGATGATGATGATGATGACAATGATGATGATGATGATGATGACAATGACCACGATGATGACAAAGACAGTGATGATGATTATGACAATGATGATGACAATGATGATGACAATGATAATGATGATGATGACAATGATGATGACAATGATGATGACAATGATGATGACAATGATGATGACGATGATGATGACAATGATGATGACAATGATGATGACAATGAAAATGATGATGATGACAATGATGATGATAAAGATGACAATGATGATGATGATGATGATGATGATGATGATGATGACAATGATAATGATGATGATGATGGTGATGATGATGATAATGACAATGATGATGATAATGATGATGATGTTGATCCTAGACAGAAGGTTGTGGCCAAAGATGTGAATGCCCCATGGCTCAGACTATAAAATGGTGAACAAGAAGTAAAATACTGGTTAACAGGTTTAAAAAATTTTTTAATGACTTGTACTGGCAACACAAACAAAACCTGGGAAGTATAAATATCACAGAAACAACATGAATGTCAACCATTATTTGACGAGGACATACTAACATGACAAGCTGGCAATCAGATAGACACAAATAAAAGGATGACAGGCAATCGTGTGCCAGCTGTTGAAAGCAATAAATGCCAAAATGATGGTCTGTGGCAAGACAGAAGGACAGGCAACATGAAAATCATTAAAACTGTTTGATAAATATCATAAAAAGGGGTTGATCTGCATGTTCAGAATTATTATATTCATCATCGTCATGTTGCAGATCCTTCGCAGAACACCAAAAAGTCTTTGGTCTTTTGTAAACTTTCCCGTCTCATAAACTTTCACATCCAGTCTTTGATATCCACTGTTGCACTGATCAACTCTTGCCCCTTGTTCCTAGAACTATACACTCCATTACTGTTTCGGCAAACAATTTAAGCCTTTAAAATGGCACAAATGTATAGAATACTGTGTTCTTGATTTCAATCCTGGGTTTCTACCTGGCACCCCGACATCAGGTAATGATACTTGCTAGTATTAGTGAGCAGTTCTTCTGGTCCTCACCTGTTAACCTGCTTTCTTCTCCTCATCTGCCTCTTTTTCCTCCTTCTTCCTGCCTGCCTCCCTGCCTGCCTCCCTTCCTTCCTTTCTGTTTCATGCTTCTTCCATCCTCCCTTCTTCCTTCATTACTTTCTTCCTTCCTCTTTCCTTCCTTCCCCCTTACTCATTTCTTCTTTCAGTTTTCTTATTTTCTTCTTCTTCTTCTTACTTCGACTCTTCTTCTTATTCTCCTTTTTCTCTTCCTCTTAATTTCCCCCCTTCTTTCTTCTCCTCCTCCTTCTTCCATTTCGTAAGATTCTCCTATAATTAATAAATACACTATAATGAAAATTAAAGCTAGATCTTCACAAGGAAACAAACAAGAATAACAGAATGAATCTTGCTGTCTGTGTTAACAAACAAAACCAAAGAACAATCATAAAATATATCAAACAAAAACTACAGAAAAGTCATTTACCTTGTGAGAGGTAAACAGGTATGTCATATAATTATGAAACAACTGAACTACTACTATTCATCCACTGCGACCAAAAAGCTTAACTGGAAAGGGGGGGTTGGGGGGGGGGGGGGGGGATTAAGAACAATGTACTCTTCTTTGCTTGAAAATGTTCTGAAAACTATGATATTTATAGATATTAACGTCAGGGTTGATGCCAGCTTGGCCAAGGTATATTTTGTTCTGCTTCGGCTGAAATATTGTGTGTGTATTTTGTTCCCCTTCTCAAATTCATTCAGCTTGTTAGCCAGAATTCAGAGGATTTGTTTCTTGGGATTTGCTTGACTGTGACCATCCATGTTTTTATAACTTATATTCAGCAGTGCCCCATCATTAAGACATCCAAACATAACTATGGGTGCAAAGTGCATTAGAATGCGGGAAGATCAAATACCATCAAAGGCACTACATCTCAGAAGATCAGCTACAAGATCAAGATACGGCGGTGAAATATGGATCGACAACATTAAAGACACTCTTCGCCTTCACAGCATGAAAATAGCCAGTTGCAGCTGACATGCACTGCATCGCAAATTATTCCTCCCCACGACGACGCTTAATGGCAGAAGTTGCTTATGATGTTGATGATAATGATTCAGCAATGCAGCCGAGAACAATATGGTTTCACTCACTAGAAAAATGCAAGCCAGCCAGATGGGGATATCACTGAAGCTACAGTAGAGAAGCTGAGTGTAGTTGATGAAACCGTCGTCGATGTCACAGGAGCTGGTGTTTTTCACAAACCCACAGAAATCCGTCAGGTTTGTCTGGTGATGCAGACTGCTGCACTGGCGACAACAAAATGTTAACAGTTTATTAGTGTAGCTGAGGTGTCTGTGATCTATGGCATGTGTGTCAGGTGTAGTGTAACTCAGGTGTCTGTGATCTATGGCATGTGTGTCAGGTGTAGTGTAGCTCAGGTGTCTGTGATCTATGGCATGTGTGGCAAGTGTAGTGTAGCTCAGGTGTCTGTGATCTATGGCATGTGTGTCAAGTGTAGTGTAGCTCAGGTGTCTGTGATCTATGACATGTGTGTCAAGTGTAGTGTAGCTCAGGTGTCTGTGATCTATGGCATGTGTGTCAGGTGTAGTGTAGCTCAGGTGTCTGTGATCTATGGCATGTGTGTCAGGTGTAGTGTAGCTCAGGTGTCTGTGATCTATGGCATATGTGTCAAGTGTAGTGTAGCTCAGGTGTCTGTGATCTATGGCATATGTGTCAGGTGTAGTGTAGCTCAGGTGTCTGTGATCTATGGCATGTGTGTCAGGTGTAGTGTAGCTCAGGTGTCTGTGATCTATGGCATATGTGTCAAGTGTAGTGTAGCTCAGGTGTTGGTGATCTATGGCATGTGTGTCAAGTGTAGTGTAGCTCAGGTGTCTGTGATCTATGGCATATGTGTCAAGTGTAGTGTAGCTCAGGTGTCTGTGATCTATGGCATGTGTGTCAAGTGTAGTGTAGCTCTGGTGTCTGTGATCTATGGCATATGTGTCAAGTGTAGTGTAGCTCAGGTGTCTGTGATCTATGGCATGTGTGTTAAGTGTAGTGTAGCTCTGGTGTCTGTGATCTATGGCATGTGTGTCAAGTGTAGTGTAGCTCTGGTGTCTGTGATCTATGACATATGTGTTAAGTGTAGTGTAGCTCAGGTGTCTGTGATCTATGACATATGTGTCAAGTGTAGTGTAGCTCAGGTGTCTGTGATCTATGACATATGTGTTAAGTGTAGTGTAGCTCTGGTGTCTGTGATCTATGGCATGTGTGTCAAGTGTAGTGTAGTTCAGGTGTCTGTGATCTATGGCATGTGTCAGGTGTAGTATAGCTCAGGTGTCTGTGATCTATGACATGTGTGTCAAGTGTAGTGTAGCTCTGGTGTCTGTGATCTATGACATATGTGTCAAGTGTAGTGTAGCTCTGGTGTCTGTGATCTATGGCATGTGTGTCAAGTGTAGTGTAGCTCTGGTGTTGGTGATCTATGACATATGTGTCAAGTGTTGTGTAGCTCAGGTGTCTGTGATCTATGGCATGTGTGTCAAGTGTACTGTAGCTCAGGTGTCTGTGATCTATGGCATGTGTGTCAAGTGTAGTGTAGCTCAGGTGTCTGTGATCTATGGCATGTGTGTCAAGTGTAGTGTAGCTCAGGTGACTGTGATCTATTGCATGTGTATCATGTGTAGTGTAGCTCAGGTGTCTGTGATCTATGGTATGTGTGTCAAGTGTAGTGTAGCTCAGGTGTCTGTGATCTATGGCATGTGTGTCAAGTGTAGTGTAGCTCAGGTGTCTGTGATCTGTGACATATGTGTCAAGTGTAGTGTAGCTCAGGTGTCTGTGATCTGTGACATATGTGTCAAGTGTAGTGTAGCTCAGGTGTCTGTGATCTGTGACATATGTGTCAAGTGTAGTGTAGCTCAGGTGTCTGTGATCTATGGTATGTGTGTCAAGTGTAGTGTAGCTCAGGTGTCTGTGATCTGTGACATATGTGTCAAGTGTAGTGTAGCTCAGGTGTCTGTGATCTATGGCATGTGTGTCAAGTGTAGTGTAGCTCAGGTGTCTGTGATCTATGACATGTGTGTCAAGTGTAGTGTAGCTCAGGTGTCTGTGATCTATGGCATGTGTGTCAAGTGTAGTGTAGCTCTGGTGTCTGTGATCTATGGCATGTGTGTCAAGTGTAGTGTAGCTCAGGTGTCTGTGATCTATGGCATGTGTGTCAAGTGTAGTGTAGCTCTGGTGTCTGTGATCTATGGCATGTGTGTCAAGTGTAGTGTAGCTCTGGTGTCTGTGATCTATGGCATGTGTGTCAAGTGTAGTGTAGCTCAGGTGTCTGTGATCTATGGCATGTGTGTCAAGTGTAGTGTAGCTCTGGTGTCTGTGATCTATGACATGTGTATCAAGTGTAGTGTAGCTCAGGTGTCTGTGATCTATGACATGTGTATCAAGTGTAGTGTAGCTCTGGTGTCTGTGATCTATGACATGTGTATCAAGTGTAGTGTAGCTCTGGTGTCTGTGATCTATGACATGTGTGTCAAGTGTAGTGTAGCTCTGGTGTCTGTGATCTATGGCATGTGTATCAAGTGTAGTGTAGCTCAGGTGTCTGTGATCTATGACATGTGTATCAAGTGTAGTGTAGCTCTGGTGTCTGTGATCTATGGCATGTGTATCAAGTGTAGTGTAGCTCAGGTGTCTGTGATCTATGACATGTGTGTCAGGTGTAGTGTAGCTCAGGTGTCTGTGATCTATGGCATGTGTGTCAGGTGTAGTGTAGCTCAGGTGTCTGTGATCTATGGTATGTGTGTCAAGTGTAGTGTAGCTCTGGTGTCTGTGATCTATGGCATGTGTGTCAAGTGTAGTGTAGCTCAGGTGTCTGTGATCTATGGCATGTGTATCAAGTGTAGTGTAGCTCAGGTGTCTGTGATCTATGGCGTGTGTCAAGTGTAGTGTAGCTCAGGTGACTGTGATCTATGGCATATGTGTCAAGTGTAGTGTAGCTCAGGTGTCTGTGATCTATGACATATGTGTCAAGTGTAGTGTAGCTCAGGTGTCTGTGATCTATGGCATGTGTGTCAAGTGTAGTGTAGCTCAGGTGTCTGTGATCTGTGACATATGTGTCAAGTGTAGTGTAGCTCTGGTGTCTGTGATCTATGGCATATGTGTCAAGTGTAGTGTAGCTCAGGTGTCTGTGATCTATGGCATATGTGTCAGGTGTAGTGTAGCTCAGGTGTCTGTGATCTATGGCATGTGTGTCAGGTGTAGTGTAGCTCAGGTGTCTGTGATCTATGGCATGTGTGTCAAGTGTAGTGTAGCTCTGGTGTCTGTGATCTATGACATATGTGTCAAGTGTAGTGTAGCTCAGGTGTCTGTGATCTATGACATATGTGTCAAGTGTAGTGTAGCTCAGGTGTCTGTGATCTATGACATGTGTGTCAAGTGTAGTGTAGCTCAGGTGTCTGTGATCTATGGCATGTGTGTCAAGTGTAGTGTAGCTCAGGTGTCTGTGATCTATGGCATGTGTGTCAAGTGTAGTGTAGCTCAGGTGTCTGTGATCTGTGACATGTGTCAAGTGTAGCACATAGGAATATTTTCAATAGCATGCTGTGTGAATTGAAGTACAGTATATATGTAAAGACAATTAGACACTTGTATGCCATGGTGCATCAGGACAAATGAAGCTAGACTCAGATTTATTAGACTAATTGGTCCTGAGTGGGGGATGTGGGTAACATCATGTGGGATGTGGGCAACATCATGTGGGATGTGGGTAACATCATGTGGGATGTGGGTAACATCATGCTGGATGTGGGTAACATCATGCTGGATGTGGGTAACATCATGTGGGATGTGGGCAACATCATGTGGGATGTGGGTAACATCATGTGGGATGTGGGTAACATCATGTGGGATGTGGGTAACATCATGCTGGATGTGGGTAACATCATGCTGGATGTGGGTAATATCATGCTGGATGTGGGTAACATCATGCTGGATGTGGGTAACATCATGTGGGATGTGGGTAACATCATGTGGGATGTGATTAACATCATGTGGGATGTTGGCAACATCATGCGAGATGTGGGCAACATCATGCCAGATGTGGGTAACATCATGCCAGATGTGGGTAACATCATGTGGGATGTGGGTAACATCATGTGGGATGTGGGTAACATTATGTGGGATGTGGGTAACATCATGTGGGATGTGGGCAACAAAATGCCGGATGTGGGCAACATCATGCTGGATGTGGGTAACATCATGCCAGATGTGGGTAACATCATGCCGGATGTGGGTAACATCATGCCGGATGTGGGTAACATCATGCCAGTGGCCATTACTTCCTAGTACTTTTAACCGATAGAAAAAAGGACCCAATGTCCACACCTTCGGGCGTATTGGGCATCTAGAGCTAGACCTAGCATTTACAAATCAATCGGCACATGGTGGGTGATATGGTCAACAACACGCTGACCACCTTTACTTCACAGGACTGTACCTGGTACCCATTTAAGACTGACTTGACCTGGCAGCCAATGTCTTTTTTTTAAAAAGTCAGGCTCTGTCAGGACGTGGACCCACGACTTTCCGATCCGCAGTTGTGTGCCTAGCTGTTACACCATATTGGCTCCCTATTTCCTCAACTAGGAGACAGACAATGTGACAGTTAAAGAGAGACAGACAAAGTGAGAGTTAAGGAGAGACAGACAATGAGAGAGTTAAGGAGAGACAGACAATGAGAGAGTTAAAGAGAGAAAGACAATGTGAGAGTTAAAGAGAGACAGACAATTTGAAAGTTAAAGAGAGACAGACAATGTGAGAGTTAAAGAGAGACAGACAAAGTGAGAGTTAAAGAGAGACAGACAATGTGAGAGTTAAAGAGAGACAGACAATGTGAGAGTTAAAGAGAGACAGACAAAGTGAGAGTTAAGGAGAGACAGACAATGTGAGAGTTAAAGAGAGACAGACGATGTGAGAGTTAAAGAGAGACAGAAAGAGAAAGAGGAACACAGATAATTAGCATCAAGGTCCTTGCTGACTGGTGTGGGCGATCATGCCTCTCTACAATCTGCGATCTTCAACAGCATGTAACAGTCTGTGTGTTGAGACCCCTCTATGCCATGACAAAAGGCTATCAAAAATCTGTTAGAACCGTCTTCCTCTGTCTCTTTTTTTCCACAGATCTTTCCGGTGGTCACAACACGTTCCAGTTTCCCTCCTCTCATAACGTGACCAACAAAATGATAACTGTCTCTTTCTGATGTTTCTGGTAAGTTGTCTTCACGACATCGTCATTTTTAAAACATCTGGGTTGCCCTTTTTTTTTTGTCTGTCCAATGAATTCTAAGGATTCTTCTGTAAAATATACAGAATGTTTTTTTTTAAGTATCCAGAAACCATGAGTTGTAAACTCTTTGGCTCGGTACTATGAATATCACAACCCCTTTGCCTTGATTATATTATAAATATTGTACAACTCGGAGAAATGGGGCTTTTAGGTTTACCCCAGACCACAAGGACTTCGCACCTGGTCGCAGCACAGAGAGTTTTAACCAACTGTGCTAGCAGGCTGGACCAAAATAGACAGATAATGTGTTGAATAAAGAGTGAGGCCGCATACATAAAATGAGAGATAATAGGACTACTAAAAGTGTATTGTCAGTCGCAGGATGACCACCACCTTTCATTGTGATGATGACGATGTTACAGAAATAAATATGCATACATACATCGACACTATTGTCTCCCATGATCTAGCTGCCTTCACGTGTGTTGTCTCCCCCTGGCCGAACCTCTTCTTTCAGTGCACCAACAGGAATGTATGTCTTCGTCTGAATTAGGAACCTGCAATGAGTAATCAAATGAAACTATTAGAGAACGGACTACGCAGAGACAGACAGTCATCGACATCTTTGGCCATATAAAGGAAATTTTTGGGGTGGGGCCTTAGGCGACTAAATTGATTTGTAAGCCTGAAAGGACGCGAGCTTTGTTGTGCAATTATAAGGTTTAAAATGCAGCAGATTCTGGTTCCAGCATGACTATTATATGTATCGATGACTAGTCATCTCCTTGTGAGACGTAATTTTTTGTAATTTAAAGCCCTACTCTGGCTCTTGCCAGGGGCTGCAATATAGCTCTGCCATAAATATGGTCTAATGGCTGAACGCGGTTTCTGGAACCTCTCCACAGGTGATCCTCACCAGCATGGTGGCACTTTGGGTCATCGGGTGTTTATCGCTTGTGTGATGTCCTGGTGGGGTAGAAGAAGATAAATAGAGATTTACATGTATCATTATTTAGTGTGGTATTGGTCTCCGGTTAACATAAATGTTTTTCAATACAGTCTCTTTTCCTTTTCCTTTTTCGTTGTCTTCGAATGTGTGTTACCAGTGTTTTACCATACATATGTGTGTCTACGTGAGAAAGATATTTGTGCTGAATGGCAAGTATATGTAACTGTAGAAATGAAATATTATGAATGCACAGCAACACTCTGTTAGCATGAACTTACCGCTACACACACAGACACACACGCGCACGGACACACACACACGAAGTCAGACCCACACGGACAGTCACAGGGGCACGCATTCACATATACAGACGGACACATACACACACGCGCACAGGCACACATGGGCGGACACACGAACACACTCACGGACACACACACATGGACACACACATGCACACACACACTGGAGGGCACACTCACAGACACACACACACTCTCACACGCACAAACACACACAAACATATACGGACATACATGGACGGACACAGACACTCACACGGACGCAAACACACAGACACACACGCGGACACACACACACGGAAACAAACGCACACACATAAACACACGGACATACATACACATACACACACCCACACACGCACAAACACACACACGGACGGGCACATACACACATGGGTGGACACACACATGGGTGGACACACACACAGACATACACACACACCCACACACGCACAAACACACACACACATGGGGAGACACACACACACATAGGTGGACACACACACACACACAAACATGGCTGGACACACACAGACGGAAACACACACACAAAGGGAACACACACACGCACAGACAGACACACACACGGACACAAACACAGACACACATACACACATACTGACACACACACACACACACGGACACATACACACACACGGACGGACATACACACAGGAGCGGACACAAACAGGCTCAAGAACACACACACAAACACATACTCGGACACATAGACATACACACAGACACACACTTGAGTTTCTGTGAATGTGTCTGTGTGTCCGCCTGTGTTTGTGTGTCCGTCTATATGTGTGTGTGTGTGTCCATGTGTGCGTATGTGTGTCCGTTTGTGTGTCTGTATTTATGTGTGAGTGTGTGTCCGTGAGTATGTTTGTGTGTCCATCCGTTTGTGTGTCAATGTGTCCGTGTATGTGTGTGTGTGTCTGATCATGTGTGTGTATCTGTGAGTGTGTCTGCTTGTCCACAGACACACACACGAACGGACAGACACAGACACACACACGGACGGACACATATACACACACACACGGAAGGACACACACAAGAGTGTTGGTGAATGTGTTTGTGTGTCCGCCTGTGTGTCTTTGTCTGTCCGTCGGTGTCTGTCCGTCGGTGTATGTGTCTGTCCGTCCGTGTATGTGTCTGTCCGCCTGTGTATGTGTCCGTGCTGTGAAGTACAGCTAACTAATGGCTATCTTGAAAGGGGAGATAACTAATCACTGTGTCACCGCGTCCCTGCAACACAACCCCCCCCCCCCACATACACACACATATCCCCCCACACACCCACACACACACACACACAGTGGATAACACTGAGACATGGATGAAACTATCTGGTGCTCATTGATAACAACAGATGCAGATAGTAACGAAAGAGATAACAGACAGAATAACCCAGGCCACGGAAACGTGTCCTTGGATGGTGAACATTCTCATCATCATCGTGTACCCTGTCGATAAACATAGGCGACTATGTTTCGCCAGCTCACACAATCGCCGGAATCACGGATCAGGTCTGTGCTCTTGTCCTGCGCCATCTGTGTTACCAAGACGCCCAGTTATGTATCTCTTTGCTTTCCCTATCAACTGTGCCTGTTGTCACCAAGCTCTCAAGTACATTCTTTCTCATAACAGAGTTGATTTGATTAAAGAACCGACATCACAGCGCTCGGGGCATTCCCATAAGCGCTCCGTCCCCATCTTCAGCAACCAGCGAAGAGTTTCAATACTAATGGTGACAGTAGCATTCTGATTAAACGTTCGTCTTGCCTTTCCTCTGAGCCTCGAGCATCTACCAGAACCTCTCGTCACCCCCAACTGCATCAATCTCACCAAACTGTGGTGATCCATCTGCTCCTCCGAATTGTACACGCTCTCCCACAAGGCACTAGCCACGTCTGCCTTATCATGTATCAGTATTCCACCAAGTTGTGCAGAGCATATATAACATATAGTTTCAAAATCAGACATCGACTATCTCCTCGCGATGAAAAAAACTGGGCACAACCAGTGATTTAGCCAAGTTAAACAGCAAGAAAAAAAAAACATCCCCTCAGTCAAAGAAACACTCCGAACCAAAAGAAACAGACAACACCCACTACAAAGATCTCTGTTATCCTAACATCAGTTTGCTGGCTGCAGTGTGAAGATGTGTCGAGCGAACGTAAGGCGTTAAACAGAATCATCGCAAATGTATGATTTTGCAATCCGGTTCTTTTTTTTTTTATTTCATCCCATCTCGGGGGTTCTGAGATTTTATAGGAAATTCCAGGAAAAGTTTAATATTATAGGGGGGTTAGAGTTAGAGATAGTGTTATTCGTTGTTCTTTTAATGTGACAGTTAAAGAGAGACAGACAAAGTGAGAGTTAAGGAGAGACAGACAATGAGAGAGTTAAGGAGAGACAGACAATGAGAGAGTTAAAGAGAGAAAGACAATGTGAGAGTTAAAGAGAGACAGACAATTTGAAAGTTAAAGAGAGAC